CCCAGAGCGCCAGGTGGCTTTCAGGAGGCATCCTGACCAAATGCCTGAGCCACCTCAACTGGTGACGTGAAGGAGCAGTGGCTTTACTCCGAGTCCCTCCCGGATGACCGAGCTTCTCACCCTACGGAGAAAACCCATTTCGGCCGCTTGTATCCGGTACAGCGCCTGCTTCACTGCAGACGTTGCACCAATCCGTCTGTCGATCTCCCGCTCCCATCTTCCCTCATTTGTGAACAAGATCCCAAGATACTTAAATTCCTCCACTTGGGGCAGGACATCCTCCCCCCTGACCCGGAGAAGGCACTCTTCCCTTTTCCAGCTCAAGACCATGGCCTTGGATTTAGAGGCACTGATTCTCATCCCGACCGCTTCACACTTGGCCGAGAAACCACTCCAGTGAGAGCTGCAGATCACGACCTGATGAAGCCAACAGGACCACATCATCTGCAAAAAGCAGAGATGCGATCCTAAGGCCACCAAAATGGATCCCCTCAACACCTCGGCTGCGCCTAGAAATTCTGTCCATGAAAGTAATGAACAGAATCAGTGACAAAGGGCAGCCTTGGCGGAGTCCAACTCTCACCGGAAACGAGCCCGACTTACTGCCGGCAATGCGGACCAGACTCTGACACCGGTCATACAGGGACCTGACAGCCCCTATCAAAGGGCCCGGTACCCCATACTCCCGGAGAAGCCCCCACAGAGACCCCCAAGGGACACGGTCGAACGCCTTCTGCAAGTCCACAAAACACATGTAGACTGGTTGGGCGAACTCCCATGCATCCTCCAGGACCCTGCTGAGAGAGTAGAGCTGGTCCAGGGTTCCACGACCAGGACGAAAACCACACTGCTCTTCCTGAATCCAAATTCTGTCATCTACAGAAATACTCAGATGATTCTGCAGTAGTCTGGTGTATCAGAGATGGACAAGACTCTGAATACAGAGATCTGGTGGACCGCTGTGTGGTATGGGAACAATCATCTCCTCTCTCTTGAATATAAACAAAACAAAGGAGATGATAGTAGATTTCAAAAGAATCAGGTTTAGATTAAACACTTGTCATGATGTGTGGTAGTTTGACTGTGGACCCAAATGCAGAACAGCAAAGGTATGGAGTAGGTGATGAAAATATTTAATGAAAAATGATGAACACAAAATCATGCAAAAGACCTCAGGAAGGAACCAGCGAGGAGTGAAATGAGAAAAGGTGCTTAAGTACTGAGAGGGTGGATAATGGAACAAAGGACCAGGCTGATTAGGTAACTGATACAAGTGTGAGGGGAGAGAGCAGAAGGCAGACTGAGGAAAGAAAGAAAGAGTGACACAGGGGAACAGAAAATGAATCTAACACAAAAGAATAACTAGACCTAAGAAACAAATGAACTGGAGTAACAAGGAATGACTAGAGACAAGAAATAAACTTGAATCACTAAGAAAGGACTGAACCAAAGTAAAACAAACATGGCTGATCTTAAATAAAAAAACGGGAACTAAGGAAGACAGAAATTAACAAAAACCAATTGAACAAGCCAAGATCCTAAAAATCCTATTCCCATCATGGGAGAAGAAGTGGAGGTGGTTGAGGAATATAAATACCTCGGTGTTCATCTGAAGACGCCACAGTGAAACCATCTATAAGAGGTGTGGGCAACTCCAGGCCTTGAGAGCCAGTGTAATGCTACTCTTACATGCGACTCTATGACATGCTTCAGTCAAATAATGAGGTCATTATCAGGACTCTGGAGAACTTGACAGCACTAAGGATGTGATTTAGCTTATTTGATTGAAGTGTGTTGGATCAGGGAGACATCTAAGAGTTGCAGGACACTGGCCCTCGAGGACTGGGATTGCCCACTCCTGGTCTATAAGAAGGGACAGAGCAGACTGTACTTATTGAGGAAGATAATATTCTTCAAGGTTTGTAGCAAGATGATGCAGCTCTTCTATAAGTATAAGTTGTTGAGATCAACAGACATATGCCTGATAGTACAGTCTTTGTACAAATAGGACTATTGTGGTTGCACAGCCAAAAAAAAAAAAATCTTATATACTAGAACAAATCTGAATCAACAAAAGGGGATTTTATAAAACTCTTCTTGACTCCGTCTTTTCAGCAGACCAAAACAAGAGGAAACATGCAGTGCATTGTTTTCTCTAAATAACTGGCTTGACACAACATAAAATCCATTCATGGATGGATTGCATGTTGTTTATAGACTATTTTAATTATTTTCTGGGAACAACTTTTCTAGAGACAGACTCACTCTTGTTAAGCTTGGAGCAAAACATTTTGTTTCAGATATGGAGACTCGGACCATGAGCATTGCTTCCTCTCAAGGCTGTATACTTTCACCCATGCTCTTCTCTCTGCACACCAACTGCTGCACGTCCAGCCATCCACCTTACCATGGACCCAGTGTCTGAACAACATGGAGGCAGAGGAACTGAGAATCCTCAGTCATTATGAGACTGAGGGCAGCCAGACTAGTTTATTTTTGCTAAATTATTATATTTAGCTAAATGTTATTGTTGAGGGGCACACGCAAGCCTCCTGACACACAGATAAAAAATAAAATAAAAAAGGACACTTGGGCCATCAAGGATAAAAGGGGCGGGGGCTCAAGCCCCTTACACCAACCCTCCTCGCCCCCCTCCCTCCCTGCCACCCTCTGCACGTGCCTGGCCCTAGGTGTGTCTGCATCTTGCAGATCATTAATGCAGTGTACCAAACAACATCTACATGAAACTATTCGTTCTTAAAGCCTAACCTCTTCTGGTCTTCTGGACTGAATAGGACTAAAAATGCTTTTCCACAACCAGCATGCTCCATGACACCGTGACAGGTCTTTTCGTTGCATGACAGCAAAGCATTGGCAGTCACTAAACTGCACGGTTAAAAACTGACCTCCCCTCAGATTCCTCCTCCTTCTGCCGCTGCAGCAGATTCTTTGCACTAAAGAGAAACGATGACAGATGTAAAGCAGCTGCTGCAGTGTGATGCTACTCCTTTCACTAGAGGCTCGCACAAACACATCCTCCTGCCTCCATGTTCTGAAGGACGCAGATGTATCTATGCACCTGTGGCAATCACAGCGGAGCAAAACACCCAGTCCACAGAGAGACAGAAACCGAAGGAGGGATGATTAGCCACCCACCTGCCTCGGAGACCCCGTGCATGATACTGTCCACGCTTAGATGCTGTTTGCTGATGCTGCTGCAACCTCCGCACACTGTGCCGTTATTTGAAGCGTTCAAGTTCGCTGGGACATTTCAGTCTTACAGCTTCCACGTCAGATCCTGCGCATATTGAAGTAGACATAGTTCCCAGATAGCACACGACGTTAAATCAACGTCGAATTATAGTTAGAATTGTTGATTTTTGGTTGAAGTCGTTTGTGTGTGATATACTGACACAAAAACATCTACAACGTATTAAAAGGAGTGGAGCGGTCCACCCCCACCATTTACATGAGTGGGATGGCCCAACCACAAAGCTGCTTCGCTGTTGGCAAAAGATGTTAATTCAATGTTGAATTATGATCACAAAGGTTGAATTTATGATTAAGGTTAATGACAGAAGCTGGATCAACCATCAAACAACCATTCAATTCTAGCCAATTAACATCCATTGATTGAAACACCAACATCAAATCCAGTGTTTTTCAGCACCGGTCCACCAGGCCCTGCAAGTTTTAAGCATTTCCCTAATTCAGCACACATGATTTTAATTGACATCTGATTAACAAGGTTTTGCTGAAATGAAAACACGCAGGTCAGTTTGCCTTGAGGATAAGGTTTGGGGAAGAACTAGTAATCTAAATGTTCAATCAATGTAAGCTGTTTTTTGCACCCTTCAACACCACCTGCCATTCAAATGCCTAAC